AAGCAAGGATGGGTAACTTGGGAGGAATACAGAGCATTGTACAGGAGCACAGCAAGAAGTACATAAGTTGCCTTCATAGTATTCAATATCCTCGTTTCCCTTCATCTAAACATCAAATACTACCTTTAAACTCTCTGGAAAAACCTGTGTTTTCAGTCAGGTCTTTGCTTTATCAAGGGCTTAGTGTTCTGCTTCAAGTCAGGAGAAAATGCAAGATCATACATGTAATCATTACCTGCTATGCAGTATTACACATTCTATCTAGTAAGGTAAGACAGACTTCAGGCAGGCATCTAAGTTGTCTACTTCTGGCTGCCTATAAATAAATGAATCAACCATTGAAATGTTTATATTCAGCATCTTTCAAATAAGTAAGATCTATTATAAAGTTTGTGAACCAGAAATAATTCCATCAGAATTAGCCAGCTAGTTGTTTTATTTGCATCTTTGTGTTCTCATCAGTGAATTAGATGTTTTTTTCCTGCTGGTCTGAATTTGCACTCTATTCTTTACAGGGGTTTGGGTTGGTTTTTTTTTTTTTCTCATTTGCAATTCTAGGGACTTGCATTTTCTTGCTTGTTCTCTAGGCAATCCTCTCATGCATCTTCAATGCCTAGTTTAAAACCTTCTCTTGCTGTGTTATTCACTTGCAATTAGTTAATTGTCTCATGCAGTAGGAATGGTTTTCCATGAACCTGAGTATGCAGGCAAAGGTCATTCATGACAACTAAGATAAATTTTTGCTATAATTTTTCTCTTATATTTGACAGAGCGCTGTAGAGAAATCAAGTATGAAGAAAAATTAACTTACAAAGGCTGTTCTACAAATGTCACTTTAAGCCGCTGTGAAGGATCATGTCCATCCTCAACAAAGTAAGGATAGTTGAGAGATTATGTGGTATTATGTCGAACCCTATCAGTTTTCCAGGGAGGTCTGAGGCCCAATAGCTCTAAGCCCTTTGAAAGTTCATTCTCAAAAAGGAAGACAGAAGCTCAGCACTCCTAAACTCTTACAGTGTTCATCATACCAAAAGCACAGTCAGTTGCTGTAGTGTTTTAGTTCTGTAGTTGACAGAACCTTAGACTCTTTAAGGTCATGCTTATTCCTCTAAACATTCCACCCTAAGAAAACAAAGTAACATTCAACTATTTGGAAAGCTGAAAGCCTACAATGCTGCATACAAATCCTGATGTTCTCTTCCAAACAGGTTGAATGTTGAAGAGCTGGTCGTCACCATGGCATGTGGCTGCTGTAGGCCACTTCAGCTTCTTAAGAAAGAACTTCAACTGCCATGCCAAGACCCAGATAACCCTGGAAAAAGGCTCATAAGAGAAATAATTGTATTTAGTGGCTGTGTTTGTGACTTTGACAGCTGCATACACTAGCCAGAGTTCCAGCTGGCCTCAGACATCTTTTTTGGTTGGGTTTTTATTTTTTTAATTAAACACTGATCACAATTTATTACTTCCACAGTGACTGCTCATTGCTGGAGTTCCCTTGTATTGATTATACAGGACAGCCTTGCAGTGAGCCACCTGGAGCATCAGTGAACTTAACTAATAAAATTCCTGATCAGCAGGAGGTGCAGGGGGTGTGAAGGGGAGGAAAAAAAGCACGGGCAGGGTGGGAGTTGGAAGAGAAGACCACAGCAGGGACAGTCTGGCCTTGCTGAGGGTGATATTTAACGAGAGGCTAAAAACTGGCCTATGCATAGTGCAGTAACAGAAATTTGACTTTCAAATAAAGTAGAAGGAATTGAATTTGCAAACTTATCTCATTATTTGACCAATTATTTTAATAGAAAATAGTCCATTAGGTTCACTACAGTTGAATGAGGGCCTGTGTAATGGCCCATTGCTCCACTGGGAGACCATTGAGGTGATCTGTTTCCTGTTGTTTGAGTGGACGCAGTACTTGTGGTTGTAATCCGTACCCAGCTGCTGTCAGAAAGCAAGGTGCTACTTGAACAAAAATGTAACCTTGGGGTTTCTAAATGCACCCTTAATGTGGTAAGACATTTCTAGAAAACATCATTAACACAGACATGTAGTGGATTTTGGACAAAGCAGAATTCTGCAGGGCATTTCCCTCCAAGGAATCAAAGACCATGCGTCTTAACAGGACACAGGTAGTTCACTCAGAAGCGATTTCTACTTGCTGCTAGCAGAGTATTCTTTACTACTTTGTTTGCAATTCAGTTAAGACAAAGTTATATGAATGCACAAAAGCTCATAGTGCCCAGGTATTTTTTCTTTTAGCAAGTTCTAGAGAAGTACGAAGAATCTGCAGCATACATGTAAAGCTTGAGTGCAGTTATTTAGCACTTCAGATTATCTTTTACGGTGTCAACAGTTTTTACAAGTCCTGCCTGTAATACAGGTGTGTATTTCATAGCCTCAACCATACCCCACTGCTACACCAGTTTATTGCAGCTTCTATTCTCAATATACTTACTGTTGTTAACACTGTATGTCATTTCACATCCAGGTTACTTTGTTTTTTGGGTTTGCTGTGGGATTTTCCCCCCCTACACACACAAACTCCATGGGAGAGCAGAGATCCACAGGCTGGGTAAGGCTCAACGAACACAACGCACCAGTAGTTTGCAAAAAGTAATTTAACCATTACACATCAATTGTTGCTCCCCAACAACCATTCAATGCAAGTATTCTTTACACTTCCATGCCCGCAGACACAAGGGAAAAAAGAAAAAAAAAAAAAAAGACAAAAAAAAAAAGAAGACAGTTTGGTTACTGTTCTAATCATTTATTTAATCTTAATACGTTCTTCTGATGAATATAGTCTAATATATAGTCTTCTATATGAAAATTCTCCACTTAATTTGACAGAACTTTGTTTTATACAAATAAGACAATCACCATTAATGTTATATACTGGAGTGTAGGTCAAGAATGAACATATGCTACCTGTTTTGCTATTCAGTTATTTTCACATGTCAATGCCAGAAAATACTGTACTTAAAAACAATAACACTGTTTACTGCAGAAATTACTTTGTCTGCTTGACAGGATACATCACTTTGGTAAGTTAACCATCATTCACAAAAGAAAAAAAATCAAGTATTTGTCTTTAATTTGTTCACTTTTCTGCTCATGGCTTCATTGAGCTGACATTTAATACAATGCATGAACAATCGTAAGCTTAACATAGTCACCACTGAAAAAGACACTTTCCCTTACCCCCCTCCTTCCCATATTTTAAATGCACATTTTAGCACAGCTTGAATCAAAGCAAAGTGAACTGAAGTAGCGCAGTGTCTCAAGGTGTCCTTTAATGAGGGCATAGACCATCTTCAGGGGGACAGATACACAACAGGAGCGGGGAAAAATTAAATAGAAGCTGCTCCCCTGTCTTTGCTAAGACTCCCTTTAGTTAATCACATCAGATGTTTAATGTAGCAGTCAACAGCATGGTTAAGGTAACAAGACTAATGAAGAGACATACAGTAGCAACAAGACACAACATAAGATAGTCCACTAGTATTTTGCCAACTGCCCGACCTTGCTGCAGGAACTGCTCATGAAGATTTTCAAGGAATGTTTGTGATCCAAGAGTCTTGATTAGCCACTGAAAGGCCACAAAAGCACCTCAAGAGAACTTCTGCAGAGAGACCAGGTCTCTAGCCAAATTTTTAGTCACAACAGCCACAGCTACTAGTCATTTCTGGAAAAACAAACCAAAAATATCTCCCAAAATCCACACCCCACATCCAAACCATTGCTTCTCTTTTTTCACTTGCACTCAAGTACCACCACTAGCCTTCAACCAAACCAAATTATAATCACCCTCTTCTATCATTCAGCTGAAAGCACTGAAGAAAAAAAGCAAGGCACACCTGAACAAGTAGAATCCTGTCCCCTGCTGTGCACTGGACAGCATGACAGGAGCCTCATTTAAAACACATTTTCAATTTTCATTGCTACCACTCAAACTCTTAATTTCATGGGCATACTTGGCTGCATGTGCTGAGACACCAATCCAAAACTTCCTTGAAATAACCTTGAGAAAATCTTCATCTGAGGTTCACTTCTCATGTAGTCAGCAGTAGCTGACTTCATCCATTGTGACCTGACAGTGGCAAGTCACCCCCAGTTTCTAACTGCACTAGCATACCTGCTTAGTTTGAGCAGCCTTTGGAACACCTTAAGGCTTGAACAGTGTGAGCCAAAATTGTGCCCAATTACTTCTGCAGAGAGGCTGCAGAGTTTGCTGATGTGGAACACATTACAAAGGCTTTGGTTGTAAAAAACACTATACAAGCTGACCATTTAGGGCCTTCAGCATGCTCTCAGTCTCAATACAGGTCTTCTACACCATGTTGGGTATTTTTACCACCACTGACAGACAGAAAACTGTTCAAATACCAGTTGTTCAACCTCTCAAGTTTTAACATTACTGTACATTGGAGAAAAACACTGTTTAGAATTACATTTTCATCTAAAAGAGTGTATGCCTCACAGCCTTCCAGGTGCCCACTTCTTCCCACTTCTGCTTTTATACAATACCAGACCCTGTAGTTAGTTATATCATATCATTAGGACTACTACTTGCTAAAGTCTGATGGGAAACAAAAAACACAGAAGAGAATATTTAACCTTACTTTGACTAACCATGAATGAACATGTACCCGTTCATCACCTTCCAGGGCAGCTCACCTCACTGAGATAAGAAGGATTAAGAATAGCTTTTGTGTTCAATCCACTTTCCAAAGATCACAAAACATTTAGATGTGAAGGATTACAAGATGAATACTTTAGACTCTGGTCCTGTGGCTTTTTTCAAATACAAAGATAGGTGGCACTCAACATAAACGTTCACTTGAATCAGATTCAAACATATATGCCCTTCCAACCAGTACAAGACTTGTGGCAATGTTCCAGTTTATAAAGTTTGACTCTACATTAACATCTGAACTTTACTGAGCAGCATTACATTGATTTCTTTCAGCTGAGAGCTGAGTGCTTTAGCAGGTGCTCCTTAAGGCAGAAAGTTACTAGCCGTTTCCAGTTGAAATCCTTCGTTACCACATCTAAATAAATTTCCCTTTAATGAGTTTAAAAGCTGGACCTTTGCAAAGAGAAAAAAAAAAAAAAGGAGCACAAGAGAGCCCACACACCCTTTGTGTAACACACTAAAAGCCATTTTTAATGTGGAAAGTTATTTCCCCATACTGTACATTTTATAGTCTTAATTTCAAACAAGGGTCAAGTCCTAATAAGGCAGGGAGCTAATAATGGTTAACATTGCAGTACTCAGACAGTGATGTACAAGACATTTATTTGCAGTATGATGACAGTGATATAAATGGAAGAAAACCAAACTGACATGGTTAATATTAAAACTGTTCTGACAGCAATTCACATAATCTCTGAGATACAGCTTCTTTACTTGTTCGTAGTGTGAGCCTATACATCTGAAAAAGAACATACAATATTACTTAGTTTTTAAACAGTGTGGCATTAAATGAATGCACAGTCAACTAGCAAAAGCTACCTTGTTTTGCTAGATTTGGTAGGAAAAACACTTCAAGTTAAAACATTCAAAAGCAGCCAGCCACTGAGTAGTACAGCTTTTTCAAATCACAGGCTGGAATACATCTCCAAACCCTTGTTGAGAGGGTTTCTACCATTGTTCTAACATTTTTAGGCTTTAACAGCAAGGTGTTATCCAAAATTGTTCTTTAAGAGGAGTAAATGTTGTAGGGAAAGCCTGAAGAATCTCTACCACCACTTCTGAAGAAAACAGGAGACTCGTCACCCAAGATTTACAACCCAAAACTTCTCAGTCCTCAGTTAACTTCAATAAAACCTCTACCAAAATTCATGATGAAAAATATTCCTAACACTGCATTCATTTGTTATGTTTAATCTTTTAATAATAATTCTTCTATTAATTTAAAACGGCCAGGGGAATTATACTTAATCTTGTCCAAGGTGCACGAAACAGAAACATGAAATGTTTCCAACCTTCAAGAGAAGACTCCACAGATAGTCTGGAATAACACAATGATCTCTTCCAATAGGGAAGAGAACTGCCATGAATAAGCAGCTTACCAAACTGGGCTGGGACCAGCTGCTACGAGTCCATTTCTTGTTGGAGTCTGCAGTCCCCATTAGCTATTGCAATGGTGATTTTAAGTAAACACCTTAAGGAGTTCTAGACACACAGATATTTAGTTTGAACAAGATCTTGTATTTAACTGTAGATACTTAAAAAGATACCTGTGCCTGGAGGTTGGGCTCAAGGCGCAGCAAGCATCCAATCTGAGTAGTTTTTGTATGTATGATACCGGCACCAACAAAGTTAGCAGGATTGGGATCTACCTCCTCAAGTAGGGCTGATCCAAAGCCAATAATCTACGACAGAAACCCAAAAGATTTAGAGGATGGAACAGTGGGATTCCAACATCAAGTCTACCCAAGCACAGCCACCACCAACTAGCAAAAGAAGCAGGAGACTAATTTTTATGTTTGAAACGCGGAAGAATTATCCAGTAACATTTTTTTACAAATTTTTGAAGTGATAAAGTAAGCCTGATAATGAACTGTTCCCAAAACAGGGTTCTTGGAAAAACTGAGAAATAAATTAAATTCAACGTAAGTCTCTCCTGTTTTTGATAAAGCCATTCCTGTCTTACACTAGTCACTTCTGTTTTGCCTAAGGCAGTCAGTTCTGTAAGAGTGACTTGTTTTCTTTTCTAACTACTAACTGTAGTATAAATTAAAGCTTAAAGTATTTTCCAATTGGGTTTTATGCACTGAATTGGTGCTTTCTTAAATAGCTTCAAGTTTCCAGCTGCCACTGAAGACTATCTATCTAATTCAAGCCACACCAAGAAACAGTCCATTCAACCTAGCACTGCCAGACATCTGTTCCGCAACATGGACTTAATCTTGAACAGGATAATCCAATTGCTGTATAAACCAAGATGAACAAAGTTTGGTTATACCACTACCCTTCAGCTACAAATTAAAAATACCGCACTGCCACCCACCTTAGCTTTTGTGATCTCTGCATCCATTGGGTGTTTTGCTTTAAAGATATTCTGTACTTCTTGTTTTGGACTGCAAGACAAGTCAAAATAAATATGTGATATATGTATTACACAGAGCATTGTTCAATAGCAATTATACTGTGAGAGTTTGTAACTCACAGGATTATGTATGGGATGGGGCACTGTACAAGCTGCAGTTCCAGTATACCCTTCCCCACCCCCCCACCCCCCTTTGGCTCACAAGAGCCCCAAGCCCCAGTACACACAATGTCTTACTTGCTCAGTTGCTTCCAACGCTGAAAAAAGTCTTGAGATGACATCTCTGTTGGCTGGAAAAATTTATTCAGGGTGATGGGTAATTTTACTGAAAGATTTTGAAATGTTCCACCATACCTGAATTGGAAATAGAAAGAACATGGTTTATGCAGCACAGTGTCAGCAGTCTCTCATCCTAAATCAACAAAGTAATTGAGGATGACCACTAAGGTGAAGGTGCAACTGTTTATGATTAAAATCCATCAGCTACAGATAATGTTATTTCTAAGGTACAGTTTTAATCCACCGCTGAATAAGTTTGCTCTGCTTAGATGGCATGTGAAAGTGAATTGGCAGAACTTCTAATAAGGATGTCTCAATTTCAGCATAGGTTGTTATCCTTCTAGATAGCATCCAAAGGACTGAAAATATATCCCTGTGAAAACATACCAGTAAGAACCATTTTAGAGTAGAATAAAGGAACATAGGCCAGAAATCAGGATTTCCCAAAGACTGGTGTTTAGTGGACAGGAGATTCTATTTTTGGCTGCATGCATTTCCAGTCCAAGTTGTTTGCAGAAATGTTCTCGGTTTCCAGAAGGGAGAAGTTAGTGCATATATTCTTGTCAAGATTTCTTAAGCAAACAGGAAGACTGCTGTTTTATACAGATAGCGGAAGGAGAAGTCATGGAGACATGTTATCAGCTGCTACTTCTTAATTATTTTTTTTAAACCACATTGTTCCAAGTGGATTCCCTAATTTCCCTTGTAGCTTAAAGCTTAGTTAGATCAAGTTTTCAAGTACATCATCTACCCAGGACAGCTTTATGTGTCCATATTCTATACTTCAGCCAGAGGACCAGGACAAATTTAACCTCTTTCATCTAATTAAGCTCACTAGCATTTGAACTCTATGTTTTACCTGAATTGAATGTTCAGGATTGGAGCTTCCATAAAGTCTGACACACACTCGATGTTCACAACCTGCTGAACCTGTGCACCTCCATCCACCGTGGGGTCAACAGGTTTTGTCTGAAGATTCAGGCATAAGAACTGGTTAAGGAAACTTGGCAATGAAATGATAAGAAAACCCCAAGAAAACCTCAATAACCTATATGAGGAATTAGCTTCTCTACGTGTTACTGAATATTCAAAACTCCATTTTTGTACAGCGAAGGAATTCTGGTGTGTTTTTTTTTGTTTGGTTTTCATCCTGACACACCTAGAAGCAGTAACATCCACAATTCTCAGTTATCTGGATATTCTCAAAGAAAGATGATTTCAAAAAGGTATGAAGGCACAGACAGACTTCACAGGAAAAACCACTGGATTATCTCATTTTGATGTGAACATTACAGTGACACTTTGAGTCAAACAAGCTTGATTGCACAGTCTCCCAGAAAACCTAAATTTGTAATACCAAGCATTAAGGATGAACTGTAAATTATGAGCTTATTTTAAAGTATCATCATCGTGTACATATATTCTTCTATCACAATTCTGAGGTTATCTGCTAATGAAGATAACTTTAAGGACTTTAAAGGACTTTTAAGGACTTAAAGGACTAATGCAGGACTTCAAGGACTCCACATCTATACTCCTGGCACTTGATGACAGTGGGTTACATTACTTATTCAGCCTAATTTCTCCTTATTTCAACAGTTAAATTTGTGTTTGTAAACAGAGCTTTAAGGAGAGACTTCCATCTCTACTCAAAAATTTTAGAAAGTTATCAGCGAGTTTCTCATTTCTTCATTTCAAGGACACCATGCCTTCACCCAGCAACTTTTATTACAACTTCGTGCAGCATAAAACACAAAAACCCAAATAAGGACAGACACGTGCTACTGTATTTAAGGATATTTGACTGTAGGTCATCTGAGCAGATTACTGTTGGAGTAAAATTCAAGAACTGTGTTGATGTCTTATTACCATAGAATATGAACATACGTCCTAGAAATAACAAAAGACATTGGAATTTTTAGGTATGTCACATATAATCATGTTGAACTACCTATGCTTTAAACATCTAATGCATTATCTATCTGCGTTTCTTCAAAATAACTTTTAAAGATAAAGCATAGTTTACATGGTTTTATCTTACCACAATATTCAGTTCTAAATGCAGTAACAGATTAAAACAAGCCATCAGACCTCTCCCACAGCAGCTATTACACAGGCAGGTAAATAATCAGTGGAATTCTTTCAGTAGCCAGAGAACATTACTTTTTACATAAAGAAGTTTTTATGGCACCAGAAGTGATGCAAAAGGGGAGAAGCAAGCAATCCTAGTGCTGACCTGTGTTTGATTCCCAGTTCCTTCCTAAGTATTTTCAATATTTTGTGGATTAATGTAGTATGACAGACATGTATGAGACGTATTATTGTATATCATACTATTACAACAAACTATACTGTAAGATATAAAAATTGAGAATAGTTCTTTAACCCTGGCTGTACCAGCCTTACAACAAGGCAGCAAGACCTGGAGCTTGCAGCACTCTTACCACTCCCGCTTCATCTCAACTACCAAAACAACCAAAAAGTTTAACAAGACAAAATGCCACAAAGGAACCAGGGACATGCAAACAGTGAAGATCCTAAGACAGGTTAGGAGATCACATTTCCCTCTTCAGTAGCTGAAAACTAAGTCCTATTTGCAGTATCATGCTGGCACTGGGGTCGATAATGAAGACAGCTAACCAGATGGCCTGAAAGATCTCACCCAGGTTCTGTCGAAATTCAGATTTCAATCCAATCTGTAGCAACTGATTTTCAAATAAGACTCCATTATTTTTACACACAAACCTAGGGGAAGAGAGGGAAAACTTGTTTTAAATTGAGCCATATTAAACAATATTTAGAACCACAAAATTTCAGGGTTTACATAGAGGATGAAGACTGTGGTTAACCTAGAATACACCAGTCTGTAAGAGAGGCCTTTACAGAAATCTGCAGAGTTAGAAAAGACAATTTTACAACCAAAACCACCACTTGCAAGACACTAAAAGAACTGAAATTCTTATTTGATAGGATTTCATTAGATAAGAAACTACGAAGGAAGCCACAGTATGCTCTATTCACACACACACAGAGTCTAAAGGACCAGGCAACAGACTAGGGTTTTTCTTATTCATATTCTTGACAACTTCTGAAACTCATTAGGTTGGTGCAGAACTGAAAAGTTTGAAGCTTTGACTGTTTAAACCTGAAAGAAAAAAGAATCTCTTGTTCCACCAGTTCTGTATCATGTAAGTCAGAGAGCTGTATTTTTTCCACTTTGAGAGAGAAAGCCCATATTTTGCAGTGATTTCTGTCCTTTCTGTCACCCTTCACTTGAAAGTAGAAGAGGTGATCAGCAAACATCAGCCCTTTGCATACAAGTCACTTAAAACATACTCACAAATATCTGTACTTTTGACAATTTACTCTATGTTTTTATTTGTGAATACTTGCAAAAACTTACACAACTGACACTGTCTCATTTTAGAGCACTGTGTGACAGCACTGACTCGTAAAGGCAGTGTATTCATGAGCTTGTCATAAAATCCACAACACCTACAGAGGTGTTCCAGTTACAAGTCTGATAGTACATGTTTCTCTAGTTTTGCTGGTATTAAGTTAATGCACAATATAGTTTTGCTTTATAACTATATTCTGGAAGTTGCCCAGCCTTGCAAGGTTTTAGTATTGCTTACTTGTGAAAAAGCTCATCAGCATCATGCACAGTATCAGCTGGTTCCTCAGAAACTACCTCAGATGAAGCCAGGTCAGGGCTAGTTCAGGCAGCACAAAGGAAGAAAGGCAGTAGCGACAGAGACAGCAGGAGTTAGTAAAGACAGCTTAGTGCTTAGTTATTTCTTTTACCTCCTTCCTCAATATGGCACTGCTGAGTTTTAATGCATGAAAAATTTATTAGCTGCCTAGCTCAGTACACCTAGAAAGGTTTTAGGCATTAGGTAATGTTTTCCCCCACTTCTTTCCCCCACCCCACCCCTCCCTGATTGTGTTAGGAACCAGCAATTCTTCCCAAAGACAAGAAACAGCTGAAGGTGTTCAACAGATTAATTTACGCCTCTTAAAGAATCAAATCCTTTTAGGCATTTAATTGTGACAGCAAAAAAAAAAAAAAGTTAGTTCACACCCATAAATACAGATGTACACCAGATGTGTGCTTTGAAGCAGAGGCCTCATCAACCTTAGTGGCACTTCTAACTATAGCTGCGCAATCAGTTCTCGAAAAACACACAAGAATAGGCAAGAATATACAGGCACACAGAGAATGACTTACCCAAGTAACAGATTAGAAATAAAAGTGACAACAGCACTAAAAAGAGGCAGGGAAGTGTAAAAGGCAACTTCTCAGTATCATTAGAGAAGCATTTCATCATCTACAGACAGACCAAGGGGTTGGGCAATGCTATACTTTCTTCTGCAGAAAGAGAAAATTCTTTTTAGGTAACTTTGGACTTTTGCTTATGAAGCTACTAGTACTGGGTTTGGTTTTCAGTGATTTTTTTTTTTTTAGCTCTTCAAATAAAAAAAAAAAAAAAGGCAAAAAAAAAAAAAAAAAGGTTTAACAAGCTTCTGTAGCTTCTTAAAGTCTTGGTCTTACATACCATAATTACTTCAAGAGAAACTCAGGATCAAGTCTTAAATTGCTGCAAACTTGCCTAGTTTAAAATTAAAATGCACTACATTGCCTAGTATAAAATTTTCATGAAAGTCTCAATGATCCAGGCACTAATTATGTCTTAGTATTAAGATTCACTGCAATTTTGTCATGCCATCATTCAAAATCTGGTCTTGGACAACAGGAATTCTTTGGCCTCTATGATTTTTAAAGATTTGAAAAGATTTTTAAAAGACATTCTTCAGTCTTGTATTATTTCCAAAATTTTATCCAAATAACATTCGAGTGTAGCCACAGTGGCTTTTAATATTAACACACTGCACCTACACTATACTTAGTAATGTAATTAGATACTTGTATCAAAACCCCTTTAAAAAAGCATTCTTGTTTTTTTTCCCCTTTTCACACTGTCTGTGTGTCAGACAGTAGCAAAGCAATTGAAATAGATCTTGAAATTCTGAAAACCAGTTATCTCCGGATATAATCCATTCTGTTGTTCCAGTATCAGCTTGCCGTAAGTGGAGACACACAAGAATATTTTATGCAAATAAGATAAGAATAAATATATTCTTATCAGGCCAGATAACCCCCCCAGTTCAAGACATACTGAAATGCATAAGCAACTTGGTTTTAGAAAGGGAAAGTAGGAAAAAGAAACAAAAAAAAAAAAAAAAAAAAAAAAAAATCAGCATGAAAACTAGGCAATACTGTATGGCCAGTATCCTCAGATTGATTACTACAGCCTCAGTTTTTCCATGAGCAAAGGTATTCAATAAAGATAGCACAACCACCACAGAGTTCAAGAACACCTCTCTTGCTGCACAACCACCACCCAGGAATGCATTCAATAAGCTGGAACAAAACCAAAAGTTATTGCATGTATTTTTTCTAATCCTGTTTCAGATTCTTCTTCAGATTCCTTACAGGGTGACTTAATTACCTCGCAAAGTTGTCATCAGAACCAGGAGCAAGAGGTGCAACTGCAGAAGCTGAATCTGAAAATACATCCACCAGCAGGCTACCACTAGAGGACGGTGGGGGAGCTGAATTGGCGAGAGGGGCAGCACCCAGACCCAGCAGATCCGCAGATGGAGAAGGAGTAGACTAGGGAAGACAAGACACTTCGGTGTTAACACTAGAGCAAAAAACTAAAAACAAAGCTGTCTCTTGCACAGACAACTAAGCTATGGCAAAGTGCCTCTCCCCACCGCAAATCAAGCTTTCAATGGTTGTAGGAGGCCTCATGAATGCAGTTACTACCTTGCCTTTCAATTTAAGGTCATTTACAGATGGGGTTTTCTTTTTTTCCTCCCTTTTAAGAGAGTTGTGTCCATCTAACCATTAAATAATAATTAAAAGAATGATTCTTCTAGAATCAGATTCTGCACAAGAAACACGACAATTTTTGTCACCCTGTCTTTTTTCCCCTCTGAATTTCAAGGAAGATTAAGTACTGTAGAGAGTAAAATTCAGAAAGTGTTGCTTTTCTTTCATGAAGAATCCAGCAAGAAAGGCAGTGGCTTTTACACAAAACTGAATGAAAACATCACAGCACCTGTGAAACTAATTGTCAGTTTAGAGCTGGGTTTATGAAGCTTGGCAAACCTTAGAAACAACATAAAACCTAACCAGCAAAAAAAGCTAAGCCTGTAGTTAGCAAGCTGCAAACACTAGAAGTAGAAAGGTCAAGACCTTCAAATTTTTTACCCCCTCAGACAGAAAAAAAAATTGAGTAGCCAGGACATGGAATCATGCAGAGACCACACATACATGCCAATTCGTGTGCAATAACAAAGCACAGACTGTCAAAAACATGCTCCTGTATTAGACATTTGGAGCCTACAAGATATGCTGAAGGTAAGTCATGAGATGCACTTGGATTGAGTGTGAAATTTTGGTTTTACCAGTCAACACAAAGTTCTTATGTACTCCAAAGACTGAATTTAATGCAGTATAACAAAAAATATCCTAGCAAAAAAATTTCAGAAGCCAATTGGTAAGACCTACTGAAAACAAACAGCTGGCACTCCAATTTGGAAGATATTTTTGGCATCCAAGCTGGGTCACACCAAAGCCCTTGGTGAAGGCAACATAACAGCCTCTTACATGGTTGCAACCCATAAAGTGAAGCTCATAAAGCGTAACATAATTTTAACTGCCAGGTACCCCAGTCAATTTGGCATGTGAAGAAAGTTTAGCATCTTTTCTTCTAGAAGGGTATTTCTGTCTATTCAAAGATGTTGCACTTGGAACATCTACTCTTACATCCTGCAGTGACTAAGAGTTAAAGGATTATGCTTTAACAACTGGGCAGGGAGTGTGCTACAGTATTTCCTCCACTTAGGTTATCTACTACTACATCTCAAATGTAATTCTGCTAGTCATTAAAACCAAGTATTACATTATGGGAACAATTCACCCTACCAGCTTTAATTGACAATAAAATTAAAAACTTTAAGAAGAAACAAAACTGGCCTTACCTACCACAATGAACTCAAATAGTACTGTGAAATAAACGGTAACAACATTACATCGGGTTTACAACATCCACATTAAGTCAAGTGTTGTCCACTTCTAGCAAAAGCAACAACCCGAAACAAGATGCAAGATATCTACCATGTTTGACAAAGATGACAGTTTGAAATTCAAGTTACTCTTTTTAAATATGTTAACTTTATCATCTCACCCTTGCTGCAATTTCATCAGCTAAGAAATTCCCATTTCTAAGCTTACAGCAATATTTTTTCAAAGTAACAACATAAAAGGGATTTTATTTTTTTTTTGGCTGCAGGCAGTTTATCCCCATTTAGAGAAGACTCTCAAAGGAAAACTGCATCCAAGCAAGCAGTGGGGGGAAAGCAACTGTATGTTACCATGCTACTTTATAGCAAACACGTATAGCCTCAAATTTGAGATGAGAAGTTTCAAACCTCCAAAAAGACACTTTAAGGAAACCATTCTTTTCTTATTCGCATGGTGTCTAAATTCATGAAAGAATAGCTTTTAAACTCACAACAGCACTGGCATTGACAGAAGCAGGTTCAGCACTTCCATTCATATCAGAGCTCCTCTCCTTTTTGATCTCTTCCAGGTCAGTAACTGTGCCTGGGCCTTTCTTCTTCTTGAGTTTAGCCAAAATAGAAGATTCCCTCTCTGGAAAAGGAGGCATTTCTTCCAGCACTGTAGCCTTATCACAGAAAAAAGTGTGTTACTTAAACTTCCAGAAAAAGTCAAACCAGCTTCTTCATCTTTGAAGAGATACACCCTTAGAGATTGCATGAGGCAAAACCAGCAGTAATTATCCGCATAGAAAATGACTATGCAGTTTATTGTACAATGACAGAGTAGACTTGCTTTTAATAAATAAATAAATATTAAAACTTTCTGGAGTCCTCCCAAAGCAGTTGTTCATGAGAGCAGAAGCATATTACTTCTCTGTTACACTGCTATTACACAAAAAACACAAAATAAAAAAACTAGATCATAGCAGACCTAATGGTTCTTAAGTCAAGCAGACCTGGGCTGAAACCACAGATAATCCAAGGATCTAGTCAGACCTAAGCTTTTACTAGTTATCAAGACTAAGCATGCCATGCTCTGCCCAGACCCAAGAGCATCAGGTTAAACTACTGAACTTCTAGAGACAAGTTTCCTGCCCACCAAGTCTTCAAAACAAAGCACGAACCTGTTGCTATGTGAAAACTGTAGGCCCCTGCACTATGCTGGCTTTCATCGGCTTCCACGCTCAAGATTGGCATGCTTTAACAGTCATTTGTCCTACTAAAGCACTAACAGCTTTGATTTTAGTTCTGAATTAATGGATGACTGCAGATGAATTGGTAGACTAAAAGCATCCTGTGTTGATTTCTAAGCAGTCAGGTGAGGTTTAGTGAAGTTTACTTTTTTAACAGAAGAGACAGCTAGAGAAGGCTGCATAAAAAAAAGGGGAAAAAA